CTTTCCCTTTTTTAATTTAGGAATATGGTGCCGGTGCCGTTTATTGTGCTCTATTTGAAGAAATTTACTGCTTTTCTTTCAAAGAGGAGCTCTTCGGCTACTAGATTTCTTGAGCTTTTGTTTGAGAGAAGTAGAGAAAAGGCCGGGCCAGTCATGGAGTTTCAGTGGCTGGGTTTGATGCTCTTTGTTGCTGTGCCATTTCCGGGGACTGGAGCGTGGACTGGGGCCATTATTGCTGCTATTCTTGATATGCCATTCTGGTCTGCAGTTTCTGCGAATTTCTTTGGTGTGGTTCTCGCTGGACTTCTGGTTAATTTACTTGTGAATCTTGGTCTCAAGTATGCGGTCATGGTGGGCATACTCCTCTTCTTTATTTCCACTGTCATGTGGAGAGCTTTGCGTAGTCTCAGGAGCACTTTGAACAGCAAGTAAAGGTAATAATGCCATAACTCCCTGTTTTTATGGAGACTGGTTTTTATTCTTCTTTGTTGTCATTTTGTACAAATTATTTTTCCTAATTTAAATATTGATATAGTCCTCAATCAGTTTAGATTTTGAAGAATAATAGGTCCGTTTCAATCCTTTTTTGGTTTCCTAATTTGAATGTTGGTGTAATCTTTAATTAGGCTTTGTTTGACAACAGTCACACTCTATTCTGTTGAGTGAACGCCGCTGTATAAATTTATATTTCATTCAATAAAATAGTCTATTACGATGTCTCCGCAAATTATTTCAACGGAATGGTGATTTGTTCCCGTTTTAAAATGTAGACAATGATACCCGTTCTGCCATATGACTTTTAAAGAAGCTTCTTCAAAAGAAGCCTTAAGAACTAAAGTGACGATTGACGACTTTCTTTATTGGACATGGATACATCCACATGGTATCATATGGATGTGGCATCAGTTTCTAATGTATTACACTATTTTTGAGTTTCTTTTACTACGACAATTCACACATTTTCTACAAAAAATGACCACATTCTGCGTTGATTTCAACCATAAATAAACTTGCTTTTGATCTTAAACTTCATGTGGGTCCAAAATTAATTTCACCATAAGCTTGAGTTGTTGTATTTAATGGGTTTATTATAATTGAGTTGTTTTTTTTTTGTTCCTTT